CCTCAATGTCACGGCCACAGGTAAGTACCGGCCCTGAGGGCCCAACGAACGAGCAAGTGCCCTGACGGGCCACACACATACTCATGCCAACCAGCACTCAGACAGGCACGGTCGCACACACACCCAAGCCAACCAACACTCAGACAGGCAGGGTCACACACACACACAAGCCAACCAGCACTCAAACAGACATGCAGTCCAGCAAGCGTGCACACCCAGATTTAGTAGCGGGCGGGAAACTAAGCACGGCATTCAGTCTATGACCAAAACTCAGAAATCAGCTGTGTGTTTCAGTCCATGTTTGGACGGGTCATCACAGCAGGCCCTTCCATGCCAGTTGGGAATGTGCTCACCACGGTAGTGGTGGTTTAATGTGTCCACAAACTTATTCATCACAAAATCCTCAGTGATTGCAACCATGAAAAGACAAACACATCCTGTGATGCTGAAGGAGATGAGTGAGCGCTCCCTTTGTACTGCAGGATGACTAAACTGAGTAAAAAACGAAGGATCGCCATCGCACGTGAGATTTTCAGCCACAACAGCCAGGATTATAGGAAGACAATCAAACAACCATAGATGGGCATGAAAAGCAGCCAGTGCAACAACATCACTTGTATGATGAAAAGTTAGGGTTCTTTGGGGAGCGAAAAAACAAAACATAGTACAGGGCAACACATCAGAATTAACAGCACCAACAACATGACATGACCTTAGGACGAGTTTGACATCCAAAAAGGGAATGCCAGAACTGTGCACACACACACACACACAGAGAGAGAGAGAGAGAGAGAGAGAGAGAGAGAGAGAGAGAGAGAGAGAGAGAGAGAGAGAGAGAGAGAGAGAGGTTCATGAACAGGTGTGTGGGTATAATGAAATGCATACCTGTAGGCAACCCTGCGTGCAATAAATTCAACAAGCTTCGATTCACCACCCTTCAGTACAATCGCCTCAGCAGCCGGTGTGAAACTATACTCCTAAAAATTAAAAAAGGGGAGACAGGTTCGACATAGTATCGTAATTCAGTTTGCTGAAAACGAGAGAAGTGCGAACAGAATGATTGTGTGTTTCTCTTTATATTCATATCAACAATAGGAATGTGCACAAAAACTGGAAGGTGAGGTTTTAAAGCTGCAGACACTGGCCACCGTCTAACGCAACAAGTCTGCAATGCACGGAGGTCCCACCCACCTTCAACATCGGCCGCAGAAAATAGCTCCCTGGGAACAGGCCAGTGAACGAGAAGGAGCCAGTTGGGCCCGAGACAGCATTTTTCCGATAGCCGCCCGCGCCGCTGAGGGAAAGAAGCACACCACTCATTGCTTCACCTTCTCCATCTTGCACGCCAGTTAGTCTGACATTGACAACAACTTGGCCAAGTTTTTGCCCTTCAAAGTTGTAGCTGCCCAGTGATCGGAAATGATAGCCTTCCTGCAACCGCCCCACAGCATACATCCGCATCAGACCGAACGGTGCATCTGAAACCAATGTGCAAGCTGGTAAAGGTTTTTTTTATTTTTATATTTTTAACTTGTATGATCGGAAATGATGCCGTTAACATTCCCACAGGATAACACGGGGGACATCTTCCAGTCAAGTCCACGCATTTAAAAAAAAAAAAAGAGGGACTCAAATGCAACCACTTGCATTCGAACCGAATGTGCAATATAGTGAAGGCCTAAAAGGTTGTGGACGAAACAAAATTTCGCCACGCCAATTTGAACACAACACTCTAAAAAAAACTGGAAAGAAGAAGAAAGAAGTCGTTCAAGACATTCGTCGAAATTGGAACGATACAGAGAAGATTCGCATGGCCCTTGCGCACAGATGACACGTACTATGGTCCAAACTGGCAAAAAAAAAAAAAAAAGGAAAGAAGTTTGAAACTGGACAAAGTTTCCGAAAAGTTCTGAAAGGAGTTCCCAATAAAGTTTTGATAAATTAAAGTTATTAAACCCTTAACGATTTGAGCTAACCATGATGCAAGCAACTTACCTTTTCTGCAGCGACTTCATATGATGCATCGTCAAACAAGGGTCCAGCTGCATAAGATCCCATATTGTCGGCAGTGACAACTGCTGCTATCCGTCCAGCGTCGCTGCCTGCGGCCGCACTCGCCTTCTTGAACTTAACGGTCACCGTAACACCCTCGATTGGTGGGGCCACCAAACCTTCGATCGTCAACCCTGGCCGAACGTCGAATGGTTCCATCATCAGCTGACAACCATCCTCCACCACGGTCACCTGGGAAATCCAACCGGGGATAACAGATGCTGGTGAGCTACAAAAGTGACAAGATCAACCAACTGGCCCAGCTCAGTTGGGACACCCATGAACTGTTGACCCAAGTTTGAGTCCAAAAAAAAACAGATGCAACTCTGAGTTTACCTAGGGCCGGTCAGTTCAGAGATGACACTTCAATTTTTAAGGCCATCGCCCTTCAATGACAAAAAAAAAAAGTGACCAGATCACTCAATGGGTAAGCTCAGAATCCTGCCGAGGGATAACAGTGTCGGCCATCTTTTCTTAACCGTCCGCCAGTAGCGTCTTCATCCAAATAGAACGCACAATCATTATTGCTATGTCTAGACTGTAAGTCGCCCCAAATACACAGCTATAATGCCCGTGCGCTTTATTTTTCTTCTTTTTTAATATGGCAGAACTCCACATCTATCTATGCACCGAGAGGGAACAGCTACGCACCAAAGGGGAAGCTGACTACGTCTATCCACTCTACTCTATGCAGGGAGTAGTACCTAGGCTCCTTTTTTTTTTTCTTTTTTTTTCCCCCCTAATGAGGGATGGCAGGATTCCTGACTCCTGCCAAGACCAGCCAGGGGGAGCAAGCCAACTATCTCAGCTGGTGAACCCAAAGTGCGCCGCAGGGGACCGGGCGTTCTTTATAGGCGAAGACTATTTCCTCAGAGAACCTGCCAGAATACGAGGGGTCATCATGGTTGCTTGCATTGACTTAGGCAATGACTAAGGTTAGTGCCACTGACATACAAAGCGACTATCGTTACTTGTAACGACTACAATTCGTTGCGATAACTAACTGCGGTCACTTGCAATAACTAACCATGGTTACCACAGTTTACTTAATAACGGACCACGCTTACTTGTAGTGACTAACCATAGTTCTTTGTAACCATCAACCACATTTACTTGCAATAACTAACCATGGTTACTCGAGATGGCTAAGATAATCGGCATGACTACAGTGCGGGGAAAAAGGTGCCTGTCGACGATAGTCAGCTGGACTTACTGGACGAAAAAACGGTACCTGTGGTTTCCACAGGTACCTTTTTTTGGCACCAAAGTCCAGCTGATCATCGGATATGGGCCCTGATCTCAAACGTGCAGGCCAGGTCAGTTTATGGAGTCGGTGCCCATCATGACCGGAAGCCTCAAACAGCATATTCAACTTGAAGATAGCGGAGTCCTTTCATGACGACAAGGAGGAACGCAAAGGGGAGTTTTGAAGCGAACATACAACCCTGTTAATCGAAAGACACACCCATAACTATGCTGATCAACCAAACAACACACACATAACTATGCTCATTAGAATTCACAATCGAAGATGCAACGTATTACAAACCCCGAGTCAAATAATTTTATTTTTTCCCCCCTCGAATCATGCAAGGAAATCATGTGAAAAGTTGGTAAAATACAGCAGTGTACACAGTACTACGTACCCATAACTATGCTGATTAGAAATTCGGACTTCGGACTTCAGACTTCAGAGTTCAAACCAGGTTGAACCGTTCTTTTGAGCATACATGCAATAACGTCAGGAGTTAGTGACGAACACGCTGCGAGATCCTGTCTTTTTATTTCGTCCCAAAAGCGAAAGTTTTAGATCTGACTCTTCTCAGAAACAACTTAGCTGATCTTACCAAAAACCCTTGTGAGGGCCCGCATCGTTGTTTATGAGAGAACTGCTATACGGTAGAAGAGTACGCATCCTTCCATCCAAGCTGCGAGTTGTCATGTTGTAAACAAAAAAAAAAAAAAAAAAAAACCTCTGATGCTTTGAGACGTTTATGTCATCACTTCATGCATAAGCACCATGACAGTTCACACAAAACCCACTCTCAAATCCATGGAAGGTGAGGCAGAATTAGCGCAGCGCGTCTTCTAATCTCCAATGAATTATCATATATTACAAAGCCAGAGTTCTCATCACCAGGCGCTCGTCAGCACAACATCATATTACACAGCTCGAGAGTTTTGAGTCGCCAGCGCTTATCAGCGCTACAACATATTTCACAGTTTGAGAGTTTGAGTCAACAGCCCTCATCAGCCCAATCAGCCAGCAGCGCCGACCAGGTATGTAACTCTCCTCCCTCTCTCTCTCTCTCTCTCTCTCTCTCTCTCTCTCTCTCTCTCTCTCTCTCTCTCTCTCTCTCTNTCTCTCTCTCTCTCTCCTTCTCTCTTGGCTTGTATGGCTACTGCCTCTCCCTCTCTTTTCCTACTATGAAGATCCCATCTCTGGATACACCCGCCTCCTACTCGTACCCTACTACTTCTTCTGCTATGCGGCTATGGCCGCTTGTCTTCCACAGCATAGCGCTGCTGCCCACCAGGGCTCCTAGCGCTTGGTCAACTCGCAATAGCGCATAACCGCTCAGCAGCACTTCTTCCTCCTCGCGAATGAGCCGTCCCCCGAATGAGGCTGACAAGTCTCTTTATTCACTTCGACTGGGCCTCAGCCGTACTGGCCTCTGCTTGACTTGGGTGGTACCAGTTCCTCTCGGCCTGTTTGCTTTGGAATATTGGGCTGGTACCTTCCAGACTTTTCTTTGGAGTGCTGCTCCAATTTGGACTGTCGGACCGGATTGGTCATCCAGCACTTTTGAGTTTGACCCGCGCCTCTTGGATACCCGACATGACTTCCTTTCAGCTTCTACAGTCTGGGCCTACACCCTGAAATTCAAATTTGAAATTCGCGGGCCTTCCATTAACCGCGTCTCGTCCGGAAGTGGCCTTTCGAGTTTCCTCTCACGTTTTACACAGAAGGCTAGAGTCAAGTGGGCAAATGGTGCGTCCAACTTCGCTTAGTCAGCGGTACCCAGTCCCAGTCTCACTTTACACAGTCAGCAAGTACCAAGGGGGACTGTGTGCACCATGGGCCCGGTGGACAGGGGCAGACCAACGAGTTACAGAAGTATAAATCAAGAGGCAGCGCACAGCCATTCATTCATTCCTGCGGAAGCCACGCGGAAGCGCTGCCACGGTGACTTGTGCGAGGTGGTCTGCAGAGGAGCCTGAAGTCGAAGTGGGCTAGAGGGAATTAGCGCAGCCATAGCTGCTTGTACAGTAGAGTTAGCTGGCGGCCATAGCTGCCATAGTTAGTGATTAGTGTGCATTCGTGTGTGTGCAGAGTGTGTGCGTGGGGTATCCAGGGTGATCCAGAGTTGAAGAGTGAAGCGAACAGTGGTGTTGGACACAGTGACGAGAGTTGCAATGTGTGGGTGCTATTGCACCATAGCCTGTTGAAGCGAGTATACATCTGAACTGTGTTCTTGGTTTCCATATCTTCGAGCTTTGAGTTGGGCGCTATGCGCCAGTGTGATTCACCATCTGTTTGTATGCATGTGAAGTAACGAAGTATGCGAGTCTGATTGCACTGGTATCGGAGCTGGTACCCGCTACTCCATGCGCATCGCCGTTGTAGCAGGAGGGAGACGCGTCGGCGCCATAGCTGAGGTGCACCAACTCTGAAGAAGAAGTCTGCCATAGCTGCGCTGTGGAAGAAAGTGACGCGTACCTGCACAGAGGACAACGACGAAGAGAGAGAGAGAGAGAGAGAGAGAGAGAGAGAGAGAGAGAGAGAGAGAGAGAGAGAGAGAGAGAGAGAGAG